GTAATTAATGATGTAATACCATCAATTCCCTTGTAATGCAGCAATGATAAAACAGCTACACAAACAAAACCAAACACTTCTTTTTCTCAGCACAAGGCATGACCATGAAGCAAAAGGTGAAGATAAATAACAGCTGCCTTCATTATCACACCAGTGCTTCTTCTGCTCCAATGTGTCGACAGTGGAAACAGCTTATAGCATGTATCTGCCTTTGTGCCATGTACGGGCCTAGACAAATACATGCACATTTTTCTTCAGTGTTCGATTTGTCATATTGATTGTCCATGACTGGCTTCTACAAATTTGAAGTCATGCACAGGACTTCTCTCAAGTGACAATTTAATTATCTTGCATTTAATTACTCTGCAGCGAGATGGCTGCTGTAAGCTTGGATGAGCGCTGTTATATGACTGGTTGAACAAATGGTTTGCTTTTTTTATGTTTTGTTCTGCCTCCAGAGACAGACAGTCAGTATAAGTGTCATTTATTAGCAGCCGTAAAAAAAAAAATTGACATATAAATAAGTTCCACACCATGTAAAATAAAGGAAATTGCTTAGTGTTGTCCTGATCTTGTGTCTTGTCTAGAAATGCCTCTGCTGTAAAATCTGTGATTCAGACATTGATAAATGGTCATTTCTGTTCAAAGATTTATGTAAATATTTTAGATGTTATATCATCGAGAAGTTTTTATTCCAAGCACATCTCTTTCTTTTCTGCTTTATTCTATTCTTTGTGGTGGATGCTTTTCAAGGAGCTGCTTTATGTGGTTAATTATCATTAACTGAAAGTGCAGTGTTACCAAGATGTTTAAGACAGTGACACTGCAGTCACAGGAAGTGCTGACTGTGCAATTAGGCCACAGAAACTGTTGGACAACTGCTCTGTCCCTCTAGACTGCAGCTTTAATCTGGAGAGACAAAAGAGTTTCAGTTCAATACATAGAAGCACAGTTTTAAGTCAGTGTTTTCTGTTTTGTGTATGAGTGAGATTCTTATTAAAAGTCATGTGGTATATGCTTGAGTAGTTCTCGTTTGCATGCAAACTCCAAGGATTTCCATTGATTAAAAAATTAAATGTCGCTGTTAAATTTAAATTCCAATTTATGCTGACGAATGCATGAGTATGCACACAGCAAAAATTGTAATTGTTCTCCCAACTATTAACTTACTTATCTGTAAATACCTTATGTTGGCATTAAACAACATTCACAGTTCTGCATACTTTGTAAAACAGAGTAGATTAACATTTAAACAATACATAGCACATGAAACAAAAAGACTAAAAGTCAATACAGATTGCTTTTTTCCGAGATCTTCCTCAGCTTAATAGAATTAAGAGTTTCTGAACAAGCCTTAATTACTGTCACAGCAGTGAGTTGTGGATGAAACAGCAAACTGATTCCATTGGATGTCCTCTGGGTTCTCTGAGTGAATGTATATGTGTGGAAAAGAAAAATATAAAGCTGCCCCTTTTTTTCTTTTTTGTTTCCATAAGATTGTCTTACTAATGTTAATTTGGTGCAAAATACACACATTTTATGCTATTAGTACAATTTTCAAAATATGATTATTCATTTTGTTGAGGACTATGTTAAAGTTGAGGAATGTAGCATTTAAAGCATGAAAAAGCAATGGAGCAGCTTCACAGATTTTGTTGGTTCTCAGTTAGGTTCATTTCTCTCAAGAAAGAAATCATTATGAATCAAAGAAAATGGGAAAAGAAAGTAATTTAATTACGGAAAAACACCAAAAGTGAATCTTGTTTTAGAATTTATATCACCCAAGAAGGTGTCTTCTATTGAAGAAAAAATTGAGGACTCCTTATGTACGTAATGCTAGTATTAACGACTTCAACCTTCTGCCAAGTTGAGAAACACATAGTGTATTTTTGTCATTCTGCTTGCAACAAAGTTCTTTAGGATGTTGCAAAACATATCAGTGATAAAACGTATTTAATGTTTTTACATGTCTGAAATTTGAGCATAAGGGGCAATAAAAAAAACCATTTGATTTTATGAGCTGTTTTACTGGAGCTCCTAACAATGAATAACATTAACAAAACAGAGAATGGCTGTACTGATTTTTAAGTGGGAGCTGAGCTAAAGCATGGGTTCGTGTCAAGCTGTGAGGCCTTTACTCAGTTACTGATATGGAGATGGAATAAAGTGTTGATGCAACAAGTTCCCTCTAAGAAAACTCTTCAGTTCACATAGATCAGATACAATGTGGTGTTCATCTTCTCTGAAATCGTACAGTTCCTGAGCCCAAAATCATAGGTAGAATTTGTTTTATTTGAGTAACTACTGTTATTAATTACTGTTCTCATACATACAATATGCTCAAAATAATAGGCAATATTTTGAACATATTATATTATGTAATTTATTAAGCTGAGTACATTTATTTACATATCACTTGATTTATTGGTAAATAGTCTGTATTTTTATAGTGCTTTATCAACTCAGTTATTAACTGGAAAACATGAGCATGGCTTTGTAGAAACGTGTTGTCAGTTTAGTCTCAAAAGTTTATAAATCACATTTCAGCAAGACTTTTTCTGTTCAAGGTCCAGTTCTGTTAAATGGAGTAAGAATGAAATTGCAGAGACCTTTTAAAAACTAACAATGTTTTTTTATTTGTGCAGCAAAATTAATGCATTTCATTCATAAACCAGCCACTGGTAATTAAGCTAAATGTATTTGCAGATTCAACTAATTGCCCTTTGCAACTTAACCAGGGAACTCATTTAAATCAGTCCAACTGAAAGAAACGCTCGACACAGCTTACAATTTTAATGAAGCTGAAATAGATTTGCAAATTTAAACAATCACACAAAGGGGCTCAATCAGTTATCAACTCCAAATGAGCTAAATAAACTCAGAAGTTCACACAAGGGGAACATTATCAGGAAAACAAAGTAATGTTTGTAGAACAAATAATGTTTTTGGTCCTAAATTATTATTTTTATTAAGGAAAACAATTTAGTGCTATTTTGCATTGATGGTGCAAAAAATGATCAAAAGGTGGTCACGCAAGTTGTAGTTTAAATAGTTAAGCTTCCTTCCCTGTAATTTATATTTTTATTTCTGTAATCCACTGATGATTTTTACAAAGAAAAAAAAACTGCTATTAATCTTGGTATAGATATGTTAAAAATGTCAGCTTTGTTATTATTTATGAGTGTTTTTGTTTTAAAAAATATATATAAAATTGTTTTAACTGGCATAGCTGTGCAATCTTGGCTGCTCCCTTTCACACAAATATTATGAGGTTGCCCTGGTCTGAATGTGAATAATTATTGATCAAGCAAAGAAAAGCTGTTTGGAGAGCTTCCACAGCAAGACTACTCCTGAACATTGTCATGACAATTTTAAATAAGACTTTTTTTTTTCCCTTTATCACAATATATATCAACCACTTTTTGGGCTGTAATATCTTAACCATTAAAAGTATACACTAAGTGAGAGAATTAAAAATTAGTCCAACAAGCTAAATATAATATTGGAATGCAGGAGTTGCAGGCATTGCACTTGCTTTCAAACAACATTTGGTAGAATATTGATAGAATATTCTATGTTCATAATCAAAGAATGACTGTTATTTCAGATACTATATTGCATAAACTGATAATTTAATTATCTCTCATGTAAGAGTAAAAAGTGAAGACATTCAATCATTTTTTATGTATTTTAAAATAAGTTGAATGATGCTGGTATTTTTTTAAAATGGCTTTTGCAGACAATATTGATCATATGCACTTTTAGATTTTGAGATTCATAAAATAGAAATCTGATTTGTAAAAGAGTACAGGAAACTTGATGTAATATGTTTTCATTGGACCTATCTATGCAAATGTATGTATGCTAAATATTTAGACATTTTCCTTAATAGAGAGAGAGATTGCTTTGTAACAACAGAGTTTTTGAAAAAAAAAAAAACAATAGTATTTAATTCTAGGATCATGCTAGAATTAAATCTGTGTTGTCTCTGTGTTGCCCAGGGACCTGTCCAGGGTGTGCCCCGCCTCTCACCCAGAACGTTAGCTGGAGACAGGCACCAGCACCCCTCCCGATCCCACGAGGGACAAGGGTATACAGAAAATGGATGGATAGACTTACTTCTAGCAAATAAATTAGAATAGACTAGAATTTCTGTTTGCAGGTCAGAGCTTTACAAAAATCAATGACAAGAAATCAGACTCAAAATCTCAAAATCAAATAGCTAAAGGGAAACTCTGCACAGTAACATCAAAACTCTTACTTCATACATTTATTCATACGTTTTCTAGTGTCTTTAGTCTTGCATGTTACATAGAGGAACTAATATTAATAATTAACTGACTATAATTAAAATGTTCAGACTTTTTTTTCATATTGATGACTGTAATGACTGATAACAGTAATTATCAACAGTGCAGCATAACACAAAGATGTAACTAATGACACTGCACAGAATGGAAGAGCTAAAAATGAATACATTAAAAACGAATAATCTAAAGCGTGAAATATATTCATACCTTGTGCATGAATCTGTGATTAGAAATTGTGCTTTCTGTGATTACAGTGAAAGGAAATCTTTTCACTTTTTGCTCAACCAGCAGCTCCAGGATGCTAAACTGCCTGCTGGAGAAGTCTCATTAGGCTACATTTCAGACTTTGCCAGTACCGACATTGCATAACTCAGAATCCTGAGCACTGTGTCACAGTGATTTATGACCACTGTTCTTCACTGTACCCTTGGGTGCTTTAGTCTACTGAAAACTTTGGGTTTTGATGACTACATCAAAATAAACAGACACCATCCGGGAGCTCTCCGTAAGGCAGTTTCAAGCCCAGAGAGATTTTTAAATTTTAGTGCTTGTGGACAGATGCAGACAAACAAAGAAGTCCAGACCAAAAGCCTCCATTCAGCAATTAACCACTGAAACCACTGAAGATATAACACACAAACAAGCACAGAGTATTGGCATTACAGCTTAAATAGTCAAGTAGTTTCTTACCTTTGGATACTGTTGGATAGGAATAAGAACTCTTTCAGAGAGCTTGATGTTTTTATTGCTGATAATATCAAGGTATTTCTTTGTGTCCACATCTTTTTTCAGCTCATCACCTTCATATTTCCCAATCTCTGCAGAAGCATTAAACACAATGGGAAAAAAAGTAGAAAAAGATTAGAAAGGATTACATGTGCATATTATCAAATTAACAGATGTGCCGTTTATTTAAGAAAATGGGTCAGGAATGTCAGAGAAGGCAGAATTTCTTTTGTGTCATGGGCCTAAAATTCATTATTCAAATCAAACAAATTGCATAAATTGTTTGAAATCATGTTTCTGCTTAGTAAATTGAAAATCTTTTCTTATTGTGTGCAACATGGGTGAAGTTCACTGAGAAGTATTTCCCTCCTGAGAGACCAGGGACCTGAAAAGAGGAGTTAACAAGTTGGCCCCAAGATACTTTTTTATTCAAGTGAAATTAATGTAATCGTGGATAAATGTTGTTCTTCTGTTGTAATTAAGTTTGAAAGAATATTTGCTCAGACACCTTATAATAATATTTAAATTGCATAGATTGACTTGAATAAATAATCATCTTTTAATTAATTCTTTTAAAGAATTTATCATCACTTATTAATTTAGAAACATGCAAATATCTGCTGCAGTTTTTTTTTTTTTTGCGACTTGATGCAAAAATAGATGCAACTGCTCACATCTCCTGAACCTGGTGGTTGTGTTTGCACCTACATGCATTTAGTGCACTGGAAATCCAGTGCATAAATAAATCAAATAGTCTGCCGAGGATTTTATCACTCTGGGGATTCCCTCCATTGTGTTTCCAGCTGGGAAGTGCTCTAAAACTTGTTTTTCATCTATATGGGGACTGTCCTCTGAAACAGAATGTACAAATTTTCCATTCTGTTTTGTAGTGGACCTCAAAAAGGATCAGAGGAGATCAATAATCCCTTCTGAGCTCCTACACTTACAAAGCATCATGTAGTCTGTCACACTTCCGTGCATCTAACTGTGTAAATTCACAAATAATTTTACAACACACAATGAAATTCTCAATCCTTTGATGGTCAGTTGAATCCGTGGCTTGTGGATTTAAAGATTTGATTTGCAGCTTCAGACTCTGTCGTCATTTAACACTGAATATTTTATTTACCCTTAAAAAATTGCATTAAAGCATCTCAGACCCTAAAGAAAGGACCAAAAAAGCCAGACCAAGGACCTGATAAACACAATGAAAAAAAAAAAAGAGCAAAAGATTAGAAATGATTACATGTGCATATTATCAAATTAATATATGTGCTGTTTATTTAAGATAATGGGTCAGGAATGGCACAGAAGGCCTTCCTGACCCATTATCTGTGGCCAAAATGTTTGGCCACAGGTATTAAAACAAACCCCAAGACCCTTGAAAGTAATATTCTTATTGATAGTAAGTCAGGATGCAGGCTGGTTAAACTCAAATAGTTTATTAAAAATAAAGAAAAATCAAAAAATGAAAGTCCAGGGGTAAATCCAAACTAACATTGCCTTGGATCTGACTTGTCTGACTCGGATATCCAGGTCTGATGCAGGAGAGCTGATTGCTGAACAATGTTTCTCAAGTTCCTTGTTGATGTGGTTGATTAGAAACTGATTGCAGCTGTGAGGAAAAACAATTAACTGGAGTGTAACAAAATGGCTGTTGGAATAAACAGGGATTATGGGAAACCAAATAATCTAAATGCATCAGCATATTCCAAAACCCAAGCCCCCAAATTGTGGCAATATTCATGTTTGGGTTTGTTCTGAAATCAATAGTGACAACGGTATTTCTTTAAAAACTGAAATTATTGATTTTTCTGTTAAAGATGTGTAATAAAAAACAGTCATGTATGACAGCAGTGTATTATAATACTATGAAAAGATCACCTTTTAACTTAAATTCATTTATTAGGTGGGAAAAACTACTGAATAAGAAATTATTTTTCAAATATTTGGTAACACCAACATTGTTGACTTACAATAAATATAACTTCGTTTTTTCCAAAAGAAAAGCACTCAGTCCATTAGATTTTGCATAAATAAAGCAAACATGGACAAGCATTGAATAATTAGTATTGCAAAATCTCTACAATGTCATATGAAAGCCTTTATCTGCCTCACCTCTGCTGATCATGATTTAGGGCTGTTGTCAATTATCATTTTAGTAATCAAGTAATCTTTTGATTATTCTGAAGACTAACTGAGTAATAAAAAAATTGTTAAATAAAAAAAATTATAAAATAAAATATTGATAAATACTGCCATGACAGCAGTATTAATATCATCTATGAACATCAGTCCAATTTTTCATATTTGACTTTAACAATTACTTTTCTGTAGTTTAGAAATCTGCCTGCATGCACACACCCGCCACATAGTAGGCAGCAGCTCCAGGAAGAGAAAGGCTGTTGTATTCCATGTTAACCCAGACATAATCATCAATCAATAAAATCTCCCCTGACCGAACTTGGATATTTTGCTGCTAGCTGCAAGCATTTGTCAACAGTTCATAGGCAGAAGTGAGAGCGTTGCGAAACACAAATAATCAACCGGGTGCAACAAGGTGCACTAAACAGTAAACCATAATTTCTACTATGATTTCAAGCTTGCTTAACTGAACTCACCTGCTCCTAGTCACCTTCACCTCCCACATTTATTTATTTACTATGTTACCTTCTCTCCATTCCAGTTTTTGTTTCCACTACCAAGCATTCCAGGCATGTTTTTTTTTAGATTTTTGCCTCTAGTGTGTTGATCCCTTGTGCTCTTTTGACTTTGCCTCTGCCCACTGATTTGGATACTTCTGTCGGTTTGACTGACATCTTGGGTACTGATGTCAGACAAAAAGCTGGAGAATCTTTCAGAACTACATTCTATACATACAGGAACAAAATCCTCATTCCAACCACAACATGGTCACAAGCTGAATATTGCACGCATTTCTATCATTTCCGATTTTGTTTCCAGTGATTTTCATTGTGACTCCATACTGTATAGGATCAAGTTAAAAATTTAATCTTAGAAAAACAATATGAAATCTTAAAACTCAATGCGTTCTGGAAAACAGCTCAATATTTGCTTTGTTATTCGTGTAAGACCAGAACCACCAAACTAATTACAGATGAATGAGGAAAGTGTGCCAAAACCTGTAACTGGTACTGTACATAAAAGTGCTTTCACATGTTTCCTGCAGAGGTTCCAGGATGACTTTAGTATGTAATGTCCCTTAACCAGATAATGTCCAGCCTGCAGTTATCTGCAATTGGAAACAGAGTGTGACTAAAACCTCCAGTTAAAAATCAAAGTTATTCAGACTGGAAAACTTGCTCACCTTTTATTTCTATCAGAAGAGATGATTCACATCGCTATTTGTGACATTTAAACAGAACAGGAGCCTCCACATACAGGTGCATCTCAATAAATTAGAATCTCATCGACAGTCACTGCTTAAGCTACAGTTATTCAATTCAAAAGGTGAAACATGTTTTTTATTACAGAAACATTGACCTACTGAAAAGTATGTTTATTTAATGTACAGAGTATGACTTGGGCTTGATCATGGGTCCTTTTGCGTAAATTACTGTTAGTCAGTGGTGAGTGGCAGGTAAACAGCATGTGTGTCTGCTGAGGTTTAAGAAAGCTTACATTGTTTCATTAGCAAACTTCAACTTCTCTACATTGCTGGATCTGGTGTCTCTCATGTCCCTTTTCACAATACTCCATAAATTCTCTACAATCTATGGAGTGGATATGAGTTTTCTGGCCAGTCAATAAAGCTTGTCATCAGAGTGAAGCACGAAGGGGAGACTTTAGACATGAGAAAACACAGATGGACAACAGCACCAGCTGAGAGGGCTCCCCAAATCTTTATTGACTATGGAAGCTTCACATTGGACCTCCAGCCCAGAGTTCACTTTTATCTGAAGAGAGGATGTTGGAAAATGGCTTAACTTTGCAAAATATGCGTGGAGGCAGAACTCTGTGAACAGTCAGCTTTTCAAACTGTGACCATTTGGAGAGCACATTTCTTATGCAGGATGTCTGTGGCTGTGTGCTGGACAACAGACAAGTTAACAGTCTTTCTAGCAATGTATTTCATGGTAACAGTTCTTTTTCATTTTTATCTTTCTAGTTTTGGGTAACTTTTTTTTTTTTTAAAGAAACTATGTTAACAGAATGAACACTTGAAGAACATCACTCTGAACCCTTGATCTAATCTTAAAGCTGTGCATGCCATTGAGAAAACTGGGCTTTCTCAGTCTTCATCAATAGTGCCATCAAAGAAGAATAAAAGAGTACCAATATCTTACTTATTGGTACTCTGTGAGCCGCAGGCACACTGTCCCAGACTGTCATAATTTCATAGAGCAGTGTACCGATTGCATTAATTTTTCATGTAAAATTTCTTTATTTACCACAATTTCAATGGATACAAGCAAGTGTGACAAGCTAGTTGTGCGGATAAAAAACCTTTTTCTCCAAAAGGGCAGCCACCACTCAGTGGTTAGTGGCATTCTGGCTGATGGTCGTTCTTGCGACTTATTGCACTTACTTTCAGGTTCATCAGCTCAGTTTTGATTACAAAACAATTTGATGTGAAGACCATTTTCCACCAAACAGTTTGCTGTGTAAAAATGGGAATGCGGAAACAATCGTAAAAATTGATCTTGGTATAGACATGTCTTGCAGAGTCTGCTTTGGCCTCCATGGAGTAAGTATGCTATGTTTTACATTTAACATACATTCATATCCTAAAACCAACCATTGTGTTGCAGTTGTACTAGGTTTCCAGTTGACATAACAGATTTGGATCTAGATTGAATAAAAAATTTATGTTTTTGACTGAGAAGCGTATATCTTACAAATATGTCTAATATAAATTTTTACTTGACTACATCAACAATCTATAATTGGCTAGAAAGTAGATTGTACTTTGGAAATAGCAGTAATAATGGAAAACTTGTACTCTAGCCAATAGCCTGTCTGTAAATTCAGCCAGATTGTGTAGAAGAGAAAAGAAAGAAAATCAGCTTGCACTATTTAATCCAGAAAAAGGTGAGAACTGATATCATCTTTGTGTAGAGCATGGTAGAGA